TTTGCTCAGCATACAGGTTGAATAAGTATGGTGAAAGAACACAACCTTGTTGCACACCTTCTCCAATTTTAAAACATTCAGTGTTCCCATGCTCTGAACAACTGCTTCTTGGTCCAGGTACAGATTTCTCTTTAGTCTTTAGCAGTCATAATTTCTAAGTTATTTTAGTATATCACTTTTCTTTAATAGAAATTATTTTTTTACATAACCCAAAGGGGAGTAATGAAAAGATCTCAAAATTTCCACTTTGGTTAAGTGCTGTCAACTCAGTTTCAACCCATGATGACCATGTATAGGGTTTCCAAGGAGCAACTGCTGAGCTTGAACCGCCGATCTCGTGGTTCAAATTGACTTTGCAGTCCAGCACATAAACCCACAACACCACACCAGGACTCTATAAGATCCTGTTGGAATAATGGATTTGGTTTTATTAAAGCCAAATTTAGCTCTCAAAATTTATAAATTGGAAGACTGAATTCAGAATTTTAGTTTTACTGGAGATTTCAACTCTTTTTAGCTAGTAACAACAAAAAAATAACACGTTGGAAAAAATCTGCTACCATTAACCATGTAAATATTAAAAATTCCATTTCCCTAATTAAAAAAAAAAAAGTTGACTAAACTCTTTCAATTGGCTGAATGAAATTGCACCTTTGCTAAAGTGTTTAAAAATTTTGATGGGTTCAAAAATAGATGACTTTAAAAATAATAATACTCATAAATTCACCGAAGCTATTCTTGGTGTGTGGTTGCCAGCTAAGCTCCTTTGTAAATTTGTTTCTGGTTTTCAGAGAAGGTTACAAATTGTTCCAAAAGTTTAGCTTGGTGTACTGGACTAGTATGGCAGTAAAAGAATACTGGAAAGGAAATGAAACAACATGGGCCACTGAAAACATGTCTGAATGGGGCTCCACAGGCCAATAATATCTATTACAGAAGTGATGAACTTAGGTGTGGCACTGTGGGTTAATGCGCTGCACTGCAAAGTCGATTTGAACCACAAGGTTGGCGGTTCAAGCTCACCAGTCACTCCATGGAAATATAGGACCGCTATGGGTCGGAACTGACTCGATGGCACTTAACAACAAATGTAGGCAAGTGAAGGGTGTGCATCCTTATTCCCTACAATTTACTGTGTTCTTAGCTATACTCAGTAAAACAAATGATTTGATTAGACTTCAGTGGGGTCTTTCGATTTCTTTTACTGTGTTTCAGAAAGATGACAGTGTTTTGGCTCAAATAAAGCCAAATTGCATTGAAGGAATCCTGCTAAGAGAAAATTGGCTGGCCCCTGAGACCCAGTGAAGTTTGTGCTTGTGATACAATAAAAAGATCAAGTTCAGTGATTTCCTCATCCTTACACTTTCAGCTACCATGGCTAGAACAGAATTGTTGGTTCCCCACTTGGGCTTCATCTTTTTAATTGACTTGGTGTCATTTGGGCCAAGATTCTTTATAGAGAAGTGCTCCATTGGTTGGTGGGAAAACTGGAGTAACCACTGACTTTCAGTTCCCAGAGTGTTTTTCTGGACGAGTGAGTACCTGGGAGCCTCTCCCCTTCCTGCCTTCCATCCTGAGAGAAGCTTCCAGAGCTGCTGGGTCTGAGGAACTCATTCTTACACAGTGGAGGGTCCCCACAGGATGGGCATCATAAAAAACAGGTTGTTTTGCTTTTGTTTTAGTCCAGAGGGTGGTGAGGACAATACTGACATGGTAGGGGTGAGAGGGGAGCTGTCCTGGGGTGGGGTACCAGGCAAATTGGTATTTGAGCCCACACATTCTGAAGCCCAGTAAGTCCATTTACTTAACACAGTTTGTCCTAAAATTTTTATAAAAATTGAAATGATTTTTGTATTAAAATTTGCTTGGAGGAGTTTTCCAAGTTTGGAAATAACTTTATAAAAAGTTTTTTAAGCTGAATAATACTACAAGCTGGTCTCATTCCAGTTTAGTGTGGTGACAGAAGAAAGACGTGTTTCGGCCGAAGTCAAGGTGATGCACTATGAGAACTCGCAGTTCTATTCATTCAGTCCAATCTGAAAACAGCTTTAGCCAGTCAGACTTGAAGTTCATATTTAGCCAAGGAATTCATATGTGCTTAGCTTTTTAAGTAACCATAACTTAAAATACTCACTTTAGAATACTACTAGAACTGAATAGGGCAAAAGTTGCAGGAAAGTGGGATCAGGAACCAACAACAAATCAGCAACACAGTTGTTTAAAAAGCTGGGGGTCTGAAAACACTTGTGAACCGCAAAGCAAGCTTTTTCCTCTTTGTATTCGGCTTGGTCAGTTTTTTGTTAGGTATCCAATGCCACTCAGCTTTGATGCCAAAATCTGTAGAAAACCTGGAGTCCAGAAAGAAGAGAACTGCTAGGGGTACCTCTGTTAGGAGCTAAGTGTCCTGGAGTCCTGGTGTGGCGCTGCCAGTTAATGTGCTGGACCCCAAGGTTAGTGTGAACAGCAAGGTCGGCGGTTCAAGCTCACCAGCTGCTCCTTGGAAACTATACAGGGTCACTATGAGTTGGAACCAAATCAACGGCACTTAACAACAATAACAACTCTGCTAGGAGCTAAGTAGCATGTTCCCAAAGGAAAGCAAACCAAAACATGAACTGTTCTGGGTCAATCTAACTGATTGTGACATTGGCTAGGACATCTGAAGGTAAGGACAGCACGGGGCACAGCCCATAGTGGTATGTTTACATAGGTGAAACCCACCAGGTCTGCTGTGGTCAGCAAAGCAAGGAGCAAAGGGACACAGCCATCGCTGTGTTTGGGTCACTAAATTAAAGGGAAACATGAATGAGCATGAAAGACTACTGAAAGGAGGAGGGTGAGGGAATCGGGGGGTGGGGGTGTGTGCGGGGAGGATAAGATTTTAAAAGTGACTGGGAAATGATCTTCCTTTTAAAATTATTTCTTGTCTTAAATGCAGAATAGTTCCTTCAGTCAGCGAATGAGAGGTCGCATGACTTTAAAAGGCCCCACTCAGTCCATGGAATGATACAGACATTCTGGAGGCCTTGATTCTCTTGCCCATCAGTATGTTTTACATGGCTGTGGGAAGGTCACACTGTGACCTTCTAATCCTCTATTTCCCATCCATAAAAGAGGGCTGGTACTAGATCCAGACACTAGAGTAGCAGCTTAGTCAACGTTAGCTTGCTATTATTCAGAGGTTGTAAAAAGGCTCAAGAATACAATATAATTTATTAAAGGAATACTGTTTACATAGACACCGAGAGTGTCACAGCAATACTAAAGTTGGGTTAAGACCTCTAGGATGAAAGATGATGTGCTGAAGGACACATGCCTCATCAGCTCTTACTTTACTGGGTGTGTCTGTCGGTGGCATCCTATTGTGTAAAAGCAAACTACAGCCATCACATACTGAGCACAGACAGCGTAAGCTCATTCACACCATTAGTGTCACTCAATCATCCTGGGGGAAAAATCGGAATCTGTTCCACTCTGAAACATTCAACAAAATGCTTGAGCTTCTCAGGAAACAAAAAATTGCCTAGTTTCTTTGTTTTTCTAGACGTGACTTTCCATTTGTTAAAGTGGGTTGATATGTTATAAATCTCCCCAGTTTGCTAAAGGAACAGCTCCTATAGGTTTAATCTGAAACTAAGATGTCCTAGGCTGTAGTTCCCAAGGATTTAAAAAGTTCTGCACTTCTAGAAAAACACTAAGTGGGAACATCACGTCAGTGTATACAAGCACCAGACGTACATTCCTCTCAGAATAATTTCTAGAATGTGTCTAGTGCTGGCAGGAAGTGACAATGGGAATCATTTGCCTTTAAAATCCTAGAAATGAATGCGGGGAAATATGGTAAGCTGGATGCTGCTTTTCTGTAAAGAAGACTGTGCAAAACTGCTATATGCTCAGGAGATACATAATTGGCATTAACTGGCTATACATGATAACATTTAAAAGCATTCATAAAATAAGGGGAAAAGCCCTGGCTCATTCTACTAGAGAGAATCTACTGCTACTTAAACGGTGGCATGTTTACAAAAGCCACATTTAGAACTCGATTGCTCTGGTTTTCTACTTGAATACATTTTCTCCTCCATCAACAAAGATGGGTGTTTAAAGCCGGGGACTAGACAATGAGAAGCTGCCTGGACCATAAGGCAGTGGTGAAGAGGCAGAAGAAAGCATGCACTGTCCTCCTCAGCTGAGTTGCTTGGCCTGCCAGTTTCCTGGCTTCCACTTAGCTCTCCTGTGTGGTTTCATGGCTCGCTCAGAGCTGTTTGTAGGGAGACTGAGCTGCTGCTCCCACAACTCTGCCTCGTTGGAAGAACCAACCTTTTCCTTCTCTCAGGCCTCACTGGCCTATCCATAGGTTTCTAATTCTGATATCCCTGCACTGTGCAACCTTCAAGATATCCACTACCCTGAGACCCACTCTGAGAAGCAGGTGTTGACGGGGAGAAGAGAAAGGAAAATGCGAAGTGCTTAGGGGAGGAAGAGAAGGGCCCAGGGATGCCATGGCCAGTAGTTGGTTTCTAAAGAGTGACGGGTTAATACTGGCCTCCAAAGCCACCATCTCCATACAGAATCCTCTGTATGGCTCATTTTGAACCCCAGTCCATTTTGAAGCATAGGAACCCTCAATGACAGAGGCGAACTGCCCCCGCAGAGTTTCCAAGGCTGTCTTTACAGAAGCAGACAGCCATACCTTTCTCAGGCTGACCTTGTGGTTAGCAGCTGAGCACTTAACCACCGCGCTACTATGGCTCCGCATTTTTAGGTATAGCTTATGTAAATCAGTGTAAAATCTTTATTTACTCAAACTTTTCTCTAGACTTCAAAATATTTCAAATATTTCCCAAGGAATATCTATCTACAATAAATATGCTGAATTTGTGTGGTTTTTTGGTCATTTTCTTATCACAATCAAAAAGGTGGCAAATTTCTAGAGCCTGATATATGTATAAATTAATAGTGGAACATGTCCTTACCCCGAGCTATTTAAATCGGATTTATTATAGATACATCCCATTGATGAGGTAGTCAGACTCCTCAGACGTTATGGGACGAGCTTTTTTAAGTTTCTGTTTCACCAGTTGGAGTCGGCAAGCAACCAGGAGAAGCAGCAAAGCGGTGATGGCCAGACCCAGGGCCAGGGGCAGCACTGCGCCTGGAAAAAGTGTAGACATGAAAAGGGTAGGTCAGTGGTCGATGATAACAGTTGCCACTTACAATGTGATAAATCCTCTGCCTGCACTATTTAATCCCAACAACTCCATTAAGTCGGTACTAGTATTCTGCAGAAAAACTGAGATGTAGAGAAGTTAAGTAATGGTAGGAGACTGAGAGTTCACTGGTTAAGTCTCAAACTCAGACCTCTTTAACACCAAACGCTGTAGCAGCTTCCTACACAATTTGTATACAGCAGTGGGTACAAATGTTATAGTCAGATCGTCCTTCTGTTCATCTTAAATAAAAGAATAAAGGCATCCTGACCAGGAAAATTTTCATCATCGCCATTGATTTCATTTATGAATTCATGGATAGTCATTCTCAGAATCAGTGTGGACCAACTCCTCATTTCTCGTTCTAGACCGTTATTTCCAAGTGAAATGTGGGACCCTATCCAGAGAAGCAGTGACACCAGAGATAGAGGCAGAGGTGAGGACATGGAGAGAGGGAGCAGCTGAGGACTACAGACTCATGGAAAGAGAAAGGCTGTGTGTTAGCAGCCAGGAGACTGGCTTGTAGAATGCATCTTTTGTGTGCTTAAATTATTAAATATTCCTGTGTTTTTGTGTACATTAAAAAACACACAAAAATGAAATAGAAACAAATACTGTAAAATAATGATGCATGGAGAGGATTGTAATTATTTCAATGAAACACAATACAATACAGTGAGTGCAAAACTGATGTTCTCCCATGTAAACTATCGCTCCATTCATAATTTAGAAGAAAAAAAAGTTATTTCCTTTTTCAACCAGGGACCTAGTTTTAGCTGTCGTTGAAAACTAACTTCCATCTATGCTTGTACAGCCGTGACCAAGGTTTGTGGAGGAAAACACCTCTGGTTTTCGGCATAAGGTTTTCCTGTGGGGCTGGTCCTCGAAACGCAGCCCAGAATTAGTCTTTACACCATGGTTTACACAGTCTGGAAGGGACAGGGTGAGCCCAGACCAGTCTGTCTCATCTGGTTCAGCAGGCTCTATTCTTAGTCTCACCCCCTCTGAAGTCAAACCCGGTTTGGAAACCTGACGCTCTTGACTATTTTTAGCTGTAGGGGTCTTGCCAACTGGTGGAACTAAATGAGCATAAACCTCCATTGGGTAAACTGATGCCCTAGCAATGTTTTTTTCATTCATGTATTCATTCACTCTGCATGAATTAAGAGCGTTCTCTGTATCAGTCATTGACCTAAGTGCTGGTAATTAAAGATAATAAGCTATTGCTAAGGAGTGCCAGCGCTGGTTCTCACAATAACCGCCTGAGTTGTTCCTTTACAATGAGGGAACTAAGAGCTCAAGAATTAAGTGTCCTGCCTACGACTGTATGGCCAGTGGGGGAGCTGGGATCCCAACCCAAGACAGGACAGCTACTGCACCTGTGATCTTACATTGTGTCATACATATGACTTCTCTGACAGGCAAATGAGACCATGCCGGAATGACGAATGACTTGTGAATGGAGTGATAGTTTACATGGGAGAACATCAGTTTTGAACTCATTGTATTGTGTTTCATTGAAATAATTACAATCCTCTCCATGCATCATTATTTTACAGTATTTGTTTCTATTTCATTTTTGTGTGTTTTTTAATGTGCACAAAACCACAGGAATATTTAATAATCTAAGCACCCAAAAGGTGCATTCTACAAGCCAGTCTCCCAGCTATTCAGACATTCAATGACATAGTGCAATAAAGCATTACAGTTACTAGTGCAGAACTATACATGAAGTATATAATGTGTAGGGTCTCCAGGACTGTAAATCCTTGTGAGAACAGCAAACCTCCTCTTCCTCCTGGGGAGTGGCTGGTGGATTCAAACTTCCAACGATGCAGTTAACACCCACTAGTAGTACTGGTGTAGGACTTTAAAGGAGCTCTAGTAGCGTAGTGGTTACGAATCGGGCTGCGAACCACAAGGTCAGCAGTTCGAAACTACCAGCTGTTCTGCAGGAGAAAGATGAGGCTTTCTGCTCCCATAAAGATTTACAGCCTCGGAAACCCTGTACAGGGTCGCTATGAGTCGGAACCGACTCCACTGCACTTAACAACAACAACAATTTAGGTGTATGATGCAGCTTGTGTGGAGTCCTGGAGTGGCGCTGTAGGGTAAGCACTGCATCCAATAACAGGTCAGCAGTTCAAACCCACCAACAGCCCCTTGGAAACCCTGTACAGGGCACTATGAGTTGGAACCATCTCAACGGGACTTACCAATAGCCCCTTGAGCTTGTTATGGTGAATGCGGGAGTAGAGTTCCATTTAGGCTATTTTCAGGTGGAGCTGCCTCTAAGGAGTTCAGATGGAATTCTCCATTACACTGAATTATCTAGGCAGGAGGAGCACTACTACTTCAATGGCAGAATTCTCTTCTTCCATGAGGGAGTCCTGAGGGACCTCAAGGTCAGTGGCTCAAACTCATTAGCCGCTCCTCAGAAACCCCTTATAGGGTCTCGTGGAGTCAGAACCAACTCCACTGCACTTACTAACAGTGAGCGGAACACTTAGCACCTCAGTGCACAGACACTCCCCATCTGTTGCTGGAGGCTCCATAGGTCTCAGGAGCGCTTCCAGAATAAGACAAACTAGGAAGAAAGGCCTGGAAAACTGCCTGTAAAAAATAGGTCAATGAAAGCCCTGTGGGTCACAATGGTCCAGCCTGCAAATGAGCATAGGGAGGGTGCAGCATTTCGTCCTGCTGTGTCTGGGATCACCATGGGTCCCAGGTGATCTGATGACAGCTAACAACAAGGACAGGACAGAGCTGTCATCTCAGGATTTTGTTCATTGGCCAAAGCAGATACAAGGTCTCTTAAATGTCAGATTTGATTCCTGTTAACAAGGAAAGCGAAATCTCCCAAAAAACACACTTGCTGGAATTCTAAAAATGATTCTGGACTTTTTAAGATTTAGTTGGGATAGGTTCTTCATTGTTTTTAGTTTGGTTAATTTGAAAATTGAAGTTTTCCAACTCCTGTTAAAATAACCTTGATATTTTTCTTAGTAACCATCTAAGAGGATGAATTATAGGATCTATTCATATGACTGGGAATGACGTTCAAACTACATAGCAGTTAGAACAGGCATCAGCCAATTAGAACTGAGAATCTCTGGATACATCTGGGCATTAAGGGGTTGGGGGAAGGGAAGGAGCAGGCCCGCTTTGTGTCAAGGGGGAAGGGGGCTCTTTTATTCAAATGCCTTTGGTCAAACAGTATCCACCAGAGGACTGGGGGGAGGGAGGGGAGGGGCTATTGGGAGGGGGGGGGGGGGGGGACTGGGGGTGGGGGGGGGGAGGGAGAGGGATGCCCCTCTCCTGGGGCTTGTCATCTGGATTATCCTTAGATAAAACCCACTGTCCTTGAGTGAATTCTGACTCCTAATGAGCCCACAGAACAGAGTAGGACTGTGCCATAGGGCTCTGAGGTTGTTGGTCTTTATGGGGGCAGGCTGCCATCTCTTGTTTTAAAATGGCATTTGGATATTGTCCAGGTGTTACAAGAGCACACCATTAGGTAAAAAGGAAAGTTTCCTCACTGTTTAGCACCGTAAAGTCAGAGTTATATTGTGTTCTAACTTTTCCTGTACTAACTAGGTAGTAGGATTAGGATTAAAATTTGCCTTTGTTGTTGTGGTTATTAAGAGCCGTCGAGTCAGTTTTGACTCATAGCAACCCTGTATATGGTTTCTGAGGGATTGAACCGCCAACCTTGAGGTTCAAACTGACTTTACAGTCTAGCATATTATGCTGCAGCACCACACCAGGACTCCACAGGACTATATATAGTGTTTTCTTTTAAGTTAAAAACAAGCATGATGGAATTATGGTCCTCTTTTCCACTTACTATATATTCCCTCCACCTCTTTCTTTTTTTAATGTTTTATTGTGAATTATGTGATCATTTACATGGGATAACATTAGCTTTACATTCATCCTGTCGTATATTGTTTCATTGCCATGGTTACAATCCCCTCCATGCATCAACCAACCAAAGGGTATAGTATACCCTGCAAGCCTGCCCCCCAGTTCCCTCCACCTCTTAAGCCTTCCCTTCATTCCTACTGGTGTCTGTCTGTCATGTGAGCACTTGCAGAGAGAACTAGGTCTTTCCTCTAGGACCTTTACTCCTATTGCATCATAAATAACTCATGAGGACCACCATCATTTATTTATTGAGCACAAACGTGTGTTACATGGCCCTGTGCCTTCTGCCTACCAGCTCTGTGGCAGACAGGGTTACTCTCTCCATCTTACTAATGAGGAAATACGATCCCGAGACAGCAAATAGCCTGCTTAGGGCCAGGGAGGTTAGGAGCAGAGCCAGATTTGAACCTTACTTGGCAACAGATTCTAGAGCTTGTGTTCTCAACCACTCTGCCATGAGCATCAGTCTCTCCATGGACTATGGCATCTAGAAGGGCCTAAAGTGACTGTCTGGTTCATTCAACTTGGTGGTGGTGGTGTGCTGTGGAATCAGTTCCAACTCATAGAGACCCTGTATAGGGTTTCCGAGTCTGTAAATCTTTACAGGAGCAGAAAGCCTCATCTTTCTCCTGCGGAACAGCTGGTGGTTTCGAACTGCTGACCTTGAGGTTCACAGCCCGATTCATAACCATTACGCTACCAGAGCTCCTTCCATTTAACTTAGAAAAGAGGAAATTGAGGTGTTACATTTCTAGTTCAAGAGTCCAAAGATCCAGCATGACCTAGGAGATGAGGAGACAGTTCTTCTGTCTCTTGCCATAAACAACTGCAGCTTCGTCTAATACCCACAAAGTCTAGACGGCTCATGGTTCTGCAGATGTCCAGTCTGCAATGAGTGTCCCAGGTGCATGCCTACCAGTTTCTGGGGCTGGGTGTTGCCCTCCTCCTCGACCACTCTTTGACTCAAAAATGAAATTTTCTTCTTTTCTGTTGCTCCCCGAGGAACCAGTATCTGTAGAAAAGAGAGAGAACATACATTGAAAGGGCCTTGGATACTTCTGGAAACAGATGTGAAAACCCAGCCTTATTTATCTTTTTAAAGATGAACTACTGAGAAGACCTGCAGGATTTATTTCTCTAATAACTATATTTGAGTCCCTGGGTGGTGCCTTCAAAGAAATTTCTGGTAATCTACTTTTGAAAAATCAGCCACTAAAACCCTATCAGCCCAGTGCTGCTCTGATATACATAAATTGACATCAACTCAAGGACAACTGGCTTTTAGATTTGATCCTAAAACAGTAGGTACTAATGTCATCAATGAATGTAGCAGATTATATAACTAGTACAAAGGCACTGGATGGACACTGGCAATCCCCCCATCACTCCACTCCCCCCCCCCATTGTTGTTGCTAATTACATGGAGTCAGTTCCAACTCATAGCGACCCAGTCAAGCAGGGGTGGGGAAACGTTCTTCTGCCAAGGCTACTTGGACATTTAGAACATCATTTGCCATACAAAATTATCAACTTAAAAATTAGCTTGCTCAACTGCTCACGGCTCTCACCGTGTTTCAGAGTGAATACCACTGAATTTGAAGAGATTAACAAAAATTCATGTAGGGCTGACATTTACTGAGAAACATACGACATCGAATATTTCCTACGATCCTCACAGCAGCACCATGCAAAGATATTATCATCCTCCTCTTACAGAGAAGGAAATGAAGTTCACAGAAGTTAAGTAGTTGCAGTTAGTAACTGAGGTGCTGGAATTCGAACCCAGTTTGATCTAAAGCGGGAGTTATCCATTGAACCATACTGTTCTCAAAGTTACCACTAGCTATTTATAGTTTTCTACTCCAAGAACACATAGCTGGTTCCATATTTTTTATTTATATCTAGGCATGCTATAATAACGTGCCTTAGTAGTATAGTGAATTATGAACTGGGCTGCTAACCACAAAGTCAGCAGTATGAATCTACCAGTCACTCTGTGGGAGAAAGATGAGGCTTTATGCTCCTGTAAAGATTATAGTCTTGGAAACCCTACACAGGGTTGTCATGAGTTGGAACCAATTTGGTGGCATATCACCAACCCCACCAACAACCACGCATGCTATGGAGAAATCATTTGTCTCCACACAGCCCATTGCTGCCTCTAACCAACGTGGAAATCAGAACAAACAAAATGTTTGGCACTGAACCTTCTAGAAAAGAGACAGTATATTAGGAAATTCTTTTTCCTTCTCCTATTGCTTTATGTTTACCATCTTTCCATTTACGGAGGGAGCTGGAAACTCTGTAGGAGCTACTTTAATTTCATTGTCATTTGCTACAGAAGAATGCAGGCATGTTCTAGAAGGAAGCTGGAAACATCAGCTGGGAAAGTGGCTACTATAAGGACCTGCCTTCCTGAATGTTCTGCAGCTTTCTGACACCACCTGCCATACCAGCCTGATGAATGTAGACAGCAGAATTGTCCTTTGATGGTGATCACCGATTGATCACACTGCATACTTGCAAAGTCTATGGGAGATGGGGTGGGGGTGGGGGGTGGCACTCCCTGCAGGAAACATTCTGTGTTGTGAAGGGGTAGCCAGGCACACTTGACCCATGTGTCTCCTTACCCTGGAAATGCTATCGAGGCCTCATGGTAGCTATGCAATTTAGCAGAGGAAATGATCAGCAGATGGATGTACTCACACATACCAACGGTCACAAAGGCGGCTCAGGACGGGCAGTGCTTGGTTCTGTTATTTATGTGGATGCTGTGACTTGGAACTGACTTGATGGCATCTAATACCAGCTCTGGTAGCGTAGTGGTTACGAATCGGGCTGCGAACCTTAAGGTCAGTGGTTCGAAACTACCAGCCGCTCCACGGGAGAAAGATGAGGCTTTCTACTCCCGTAAAGATTTACACCCTCAGAAACCCTGTACAGGTTCGCTATGGGTCGGAACCGACTCGATGGCACTTAACAACAACAACAACAATACCAGCACCAGCACCATCAGCACCAACACCATCATGAATAACATAGCTATAAAATTCCTCACAGACATACTCTTTGCTCATTTTCTTACTGCAGTAAGCTATGAAAGAGTCTTGTCTAAGGGTGTCCTGGTGTGACGCTACAGGATAATGCACTGGACCACAAGGTCAGTTTGAACCACAAGGTTGGTTGTTCAAACCCACCAGTTGCTCCTTGGAAACCCTATACAGGGTCACTATGGGTCAGACCCAACTCAATGGTACTTAACAACAACAATCTTGTCTAAGAATAGTTAAAAGTTCTTTCTACATTCACTTCTTTTACTATGATCCTTTTTCCTCTGATAAAGACAGACCAATAAAAATACGTGTTTACTAAAATTGTGTATTTGGCTGGAGAGTAATTTTTTAATTCTATCAGGAAGGCGGATAATCTTATTTAGATTATTTTGTTTAAAACAAGTGATTCCTTGGACTGATTGCATGGGTCAAGAGTTACAAAATACAATTTACTGGATGAGCCATCTACAAAGTTCAAACCATAAAACTTATATAAACCCTAATAACATTGCCCCAAACTTTCAGACTGACAACTTGTAGAAGGTACACAGTTTTTTTCCCTATGGCCAGTATTTCTCTAAGTGTCTCAAAATAATGGGGCATTTAAAGGCATCTCCTGATTATAGTTGATGAAATGACATTTTCCAAATATGTAGACCAATGAAAGAGGACCTACTCCTTTAATATAATTTCATGGAAATAATAAAGGTTAAAAAAATCCAATTACGATCATTTACGGCATCCCCTCCCACTGCGTGATCCATGCACTTGGGCAGCTGGTTGGCTCCTGACAACGTTTCGGGCCACAAGAAGCTCTCAAGTTGGGGTGCTTATCAGGTTTCCATGAGTTCAAACCATCCTTCCATAAATGTGATTTCATAGTGTCAGAATTATTGCTTCTCAACAAGAAGAGACAAAGCCCAACACAACAAGAAGATTACATAACTATGAAAACTCTATGGCTACAATCTTCAAAAACTTGATTAAAATGTCCTCTTTGAATACAGTGCCTTCCACAGTGATGGTTTGGAAACGTTCCATATCTGGTGGTGATGATATGGGGAATGCACATATGCTACTGTTGTTAAGTATCATCGAGTTGGTTCTATCTGACTCATAGCTACCTGATATGGGGTTTCTGAGGCTGCAAATCTTTTCAGAGCAGAAAGCCTCATCTTTCTCCTATTTAAATTCTTAAAAACTGCTGCCCTTGAGTGAAGTTAGCAGCCAGACTCGTAACTACTATGCTACAAGAGCTCTTTGTCTTCACCCCTAGACGTTACAAAAAAGCATATTTTTGGCGAATATTAATAATAGTAGAAATCCTTATAAGTGAGGAAAAGAAAGGTTTTTGTAAAAAAAAAAAAAAAGATATTATCCTGGTTTCATTAAAAATAAATATATGTTTGCAAGGAGCCCTTGGATTAGGCACTGTGGTTTAGGTGCTTCAAAGCCACCTACCACTTCATAGGAGACAGATGAGGCTCTCTCTCCCGTAGTGATTTACGGTCTTGGAAACTCTAGACAAAGTCACTACAAGTAGGAATCGACTCATGGCAGTGGGTGGGTGTATATATAAATAAAGGTAATCAGAAGAAGATAGAACAAAATTCCAATGGTGAGCTTTGCTAGAGGATTTAAATTTTCTCCTTGATATTTTTCAATATTTTCCTAATATTCTACAGTAATCATGTATTATTTTAATAATGAGAAAAATACATGTATTCTAGATAATAACTGGATTTCTAATCTCTTTGCAGCTGTGAAACACCATTTGTTACATCTTCATTAAAAAAAAAGCAGCAACCCAGTGTCACCGCGTCAACTCTGACTCATAGTGACTGACTCTGTACGACAGAGGAGAACTGCCCCAAAGGGTTTCTGAGTCTGTAAATCTTTATGGAAGCAGCTCCCACATCTTTCTCCTAGAGTGGCTGTTGGGTTCGAGCCACCAGCCTTTCAGTTAGTAGTCAACCACTTAACCACTGCACCATCAAGTCATAGTGACCCTATACAGGGTTTTTGAGGAGCAGCTTGGTGGGTTTGAACTGCTGACCTTGCGGTTATTAGCCCAATGATGTAGTGTCACACCAGGACTCCTCCATGGGCAAGGCCATAGGCTTATTATCAGAAAGGACAATAACTGAGATGGCACTTAACCTTTTAAATTGTGTGCTAGTTATGATCAAAAAGGATTGTGAGGCTCAGTCCACACTCCCCAGGACACAGTGCTATAATCAATCAGTAACTACCACGGAACATTTGTCAGCCCACTGCCTGTCAGCTTGTCATACATGGTGGATGTGTTACGATGACACTGGAAGCTATGCCATCGGTATTTCAAATATCAGAAGGGTCACCATGGTGGACAGGTTTCAATGGAGATTCTTGGACAGACTAGGAAGAAAAGTCCCAGACCTATTTCTGAAAAGTAGTCAAAAAAAAACACTACCGATGTAAGCCAACATCTCAAAGGATTGATCGACTGGATTTGAAGGTTTAAGACTATCGTCTCGTGGGACCACTCAGTAAATGTGCATAACATAGTTTATGAAGTTCATGCTCTATATTCTAGTTTGGAGTGTAGCATCTGGGGTCTTAAAAGCTTGTGAATGGCCATCTCAGATCTAACGATTGGTCATCTGGAGCAAAAGAGAAAGGAAAGCAGACTCAGAGAAGAAGCTAGTTTACGGGACTGATAGCTCACATCTATGACGGTCTCATCCATTCCCAAGACCAGAAGGACACCAGTACCAACCATCCTAGTCAGGAACACAGTACACGGACCCTGACAGAATGGGATAAAAATGTAGACCAAGACTCAAATTCTTAAAAAAAAATCCAGACTAGAGGAACCCCAAGACTACTGGCCTGAGACACCTTTTAAAATTGGAACTGAAACTACTCCTGGAGATCACCTTTCAGGTAAACAAAAGATTAGCTCAGAAAATACAGAATA